TTTTGGGTACAGAAGATCAAAGAGAATATAAATAATAGTCATTTGGTACAATCATTTTGATTTATCAAATTGTATCATATATTATCAAAATGTATAGTTGTACTAATCAATAATATTATCTAGTACAATCAAACATAGCTACATATGTACTTGTACTATATATAATTTGACACCAAAGAAATTCCCCCCTCTTACCCTTGAGGTACACACATATATATAAGAGACGAATTAGAAAAGAAAAATGATATTTTTGTAAAAAGCGTAGATATGTACCGCACAAAACTACTAAGAGTACTTTTACTTATAATAATTTATTATATTTATTTTTACGTGATTAATACAAATCGCAGGTGAAAAATTAATTTCAGATTGCATATTATTATAGGTATGGTATAATTCATTTATAAAAAAATCTCATGAAAGGAAGGTGGAATTTCAGCAAATTGCAATTAACATATATTCAAAGACAACATTATATATAAAGCAACCACATCATGTTATATATTGACTTCAACACCATACATGATGCATTATAAGCATGCACAATATTCTTATGTCTAAACCATTAGATCCAATACACTTTTAATCTAAATTTTTAAGTAAATCAATCAAATCAGAGTTCTACTACATGTACTCCCGAATCTTACTTCCTGATGCGACTGACGTTGATAGGTTAGATTTTTCATTGTGGGTCCCTATAAAAGTGTACATCAAAATTTTAAGTGAGAGAGTAAAAGTTGAGAGTAGAGATTAATAAGAGTATATATAATACTTTTTTTTATCAAATCATGACATTTGGATAACTAGACGTACACATTATAACATTAACGAAAAACATTATCGAATTAATAAAATTGTAAATGTTTGAGATTTGTAACATAAAAGTAAGGTATTTCATAAAACGTTTAATGATCTTAGTGGCAAAAAAAATTTTAAAAAAAAAATCGTAAATTTTAATTTCAGACAACAATTTCATTTTTTTTTTAAAATCTACTCCGTATATTTTATACGGAGTATGTTTTAATACATAAAAGTAACCATATTATTTTATTTTATTTTATTTTATTTATAGAGCACTCTTATCTACTCGAGAATCATTCATTATAGGTAATTAAAATATTTTAAATTATTTTTTTTAATACGTAATTTGTAAATTTTACTGTAATTTCTTACAATATTATGGTTATCAAGATAACATTTTGACTTAGGTAACATATACATAGATATATAGGTTATTTTTTGAGTGACGAGAAAATTAAAACCAGTAGATACTATCCAGAGGTGTGTATTTGGTAAAAGACCATAAAGACTTAAATCAATTTAGATTGCTCATAACTGATCAGTTTAAACTAAATAATTAAGTTGGAGTTTGAACTCATAATAACTTTGCAGTTACAAGTTTGTATCCTTAATCATTTTCATTGGCGTTACCGTTAAGTTATTTTGATTTTGATTTCATGCATGTTAAATAAAGTTTTCATGCAACGGATCAGAACCATACAAATATACAATACAGGTAGCGAGAATTATTAAATTGTTTTCCCTTAATTAATTGTTTTGTTTTTTTACTACGTACAAGGTGGTCACAGATTGCGGCACGTTTGCCTGGACGTACGGACAACGAAATCAAGAACTTCTGGAACTCAACACTGAAGAAGAGAATGAAGAACTCATCGTCGTCACCCTCCACGACGTCACCAAACACGAGCGATAATAATTCCTCGTCCTTGGAGCCCTGCAGGGACAACAACATCATGGGAGCCCTAATCTCCTCCTCATCAATGCCGCAAGATCATCACCACCACCACAACAACGGCGGCGCCGCCGCCCTAATGTCGTCAATGTACATGCACGACCCATCCTCGTCCTCGTCGTCGTTCTCGTCCTCCCTGCCCCTAACCACGGCGGCGGACCCGCTCCCGATGCTCGGGCACAGCTTCTCCGCCGCCGCGGCCTCGTTCATGGAAACCGGCCACGCGCTCGGCGGCGGCGGCGCGTATTACGGGGACCACCACGGGATATTCGGCGGAAATATCGGGGCGGAAGAAGGGCCGCCGCCAAACCATCTCTTCATGGTTCCACCGCTGGAGAGCGTCAATAATGTGGAGTGCCACGTGGTGAAATCCGAGGGTTTTGTGAATAACAACAATAATATAAACACCAACATAAACAACCATTTCATGAATAACAACAACGTTAAGGTAGAGAATGTGGGAGGGGGGTTTGGGAGCTATTGGGACAATGGAGGAGAATGGGACTTGGAAGAGTTGATGAAAGATGTCCCTAATTCCTTTCCATTTCTTGATTTCCAACTTGAATAATCCATTATATTATTATTACTTCCAATCCTTTTAATTCCCTTAATTTTAATGTCCCATTCCCCATATATATATATACTCACACTACATACACAAAATACCTTGTACCGAATTATAACTGATTGAATTGTAGACAGGAAATTCCGATACATGAAATAAAAGGTGCAAGAAATTCTTGTATATATATGAATTCTATATGGTTAGTTCATTAATTTCCTCTTCACTATGATCGATAATGTTTGTAATAATCATCTTCATTTAATTAAATCTATTTGTGAAGGGATAATATGTGAATACAATGGTCACAATCTTGGATCGAATACATTAAAGGTTGTGACATTTACATAAATTCTCTATTTGAATAGTGCTCTTTGTACCCAAAATATAAAGGTTGTGACATTTACATAAATTCTCTATTTTTAATCAATTTCTCCTGTTTCCTTTCCTCCATTTAATTTTCTATTCTTCATCCTCTATTTTATATTTTCAAAGAAATAAGTAAATGTATTTTCTATTTTTGTCTTTCCTTTTTTTTTTTTTTATACTTCTATAAAAAAAATAGAAAATTTCTCACATTAGTAAATGAATCCTAATAAATAAGAACAAAAATATAATATTGCTCTCTTATTATTATTATTATTATTATTATTATTATTATTATTATTATTATTATTATTATTATTATTATTATTTACGAAGCTAGAAGTACATATAAATACTGTCTTTAGCATTTTTTGATATTGTGGAGTATAATCTACAAAAAAAAAAAAAAAATAATAATAATAATAATAATAATAATAATAAATAAAATAAAAAAAATGTCAATAATATATAAAATCAAAGATACTCTCCTTAGTGGCATCAATTAACCAAGTCCTACTTCAAATAATTTCAACTTCTCTCTTTCTAATTCTCAGTCAAATTCAATACTTATTATGATGATGATCAGCATGGCAATGATAATGAATGAGTTGAGGATTAAAGTAAATTAATTAATTACTTAATTATGGTTTCTTTTAATGATGTTCTTAAGCATATATATATCTTCCTTAATTTGTAATACAATGTGGTTTTAATCACTTAATTAGGTGACATGTCCACTTGGACAGTAAGTGAACTACCACACAAAACACACACACAAGGGCAGAAAAGTCAGCCCTTGCTCTTATTGTGACTAGGACTTTGAAATTACAGCATGAATTATTATTGTTATTTGAGACAATACATTAACCTTAATCATCACAATTTTTGACATCCCACTGTGATAATAATCCTAAAGCAGATAGCATGAAAGTCATTTTCTATAGGGAGACAATGTATCAATGCAGCTGCCGTGGTCCCTAAAGAGAATTCTTTTTTGAAAAGGAGAAGAAAATTTATAGGAATTTGAACAAAATCACGCTCATAACATCAACTTAAAAAAAAAAAAAAATCTAAACCTCCGAGAAACTCTATTAGACAAAGGTTTGGAGGGCTAGCTAAGTGTCACGGACGGTTTTCTGTGACCATGTTAAGACCTAATGAATGAATGTGCCAACTGGTTAGCTTGCCAAATGAGTGAAGGGGAGCGTCAATAGCGTTAAAGGTTGTTCTGGGCTTTAGACGTTAAGGTATGGCCAAGTTAAGCATGCCGACCCGATTAAGTTTGGGGAGTTTGTCGTTCGTCTTGGACTTGACTATGAAGGGGCGGATCAATGTGATTCGAATGACACAACTGACCGGGAGCTATTGTCGTTCCCCTTATGAGCCCATGGTAGGGCGAAACCAATTTGAGACGTATGCGGTATGCGGGTAGGCATGCTAGTCCACACGGGGGGATGGGCCCTGGGATGACACATGGGCGTTATGCCCCGCGTTGGACTTTATGCCCGTGACATAATTAAGTCCAGTATGCTACTATTGAAATGTGGTGTTGGGTATTATGTAAGAAAATAAATTTGTATTTTCGTTACTAATTGTAATTTTTGGTATAGTGCAATGATAAGTATTACTCCATCTTCATTTTACCTGTCGTGTTTATTATTCATGGATTAAACAAATTCTCTTTTTCTTGCTTATGTTCTTTAATATTTTCTTAAAATTTTTAAACTCAAACTTTGTGTTTAATAGTACTTCTGATTTAGTTTCTAAATATGTAAACATTATACACTCATTCTAATTTAAATATTATGAAAAACAAAATTATAAATAACTCAAGTCAAGCTAAGTCTCATTAACCGAATCATACACATAAATTGGATGAAGGGGGCATATAGCAAGAGTTGAGTTTGGCAAGTGTTCGAAGAACATTGTACTATTAGACTCACTATTACGTTAGCTATAATTTTTGTCATAATGGTAAGCGTTTGATGTAAACAGACTCATAAATTTGTAAATCAAGATAAGTTGAGAGTAATCATGATCTGTTATGTTTATATTTTATATCAACCACATTCTTTTTGAGTGTCTTATATCAAGTCAAGTAGTAAAGGGAATTCAATTCAATAGGATTAAGAGACAAAGTGATTACATTTCAGTTGAAGGGTGAGGTGGATTAAGTTAAGTGCTTCCTTGCATCATTTCATCCCAAGATTTTTTGTCAACCCGTAACTAACAAATCTAACCAATCCATGAATAAATATATACATTTATATTTATGTTTAGGGAAGTTTAGTTGTTTGATTATCTTTCACGTGATTGATGATTACGTAAATTGTGCATGTCAATGAGGTCACATTTTGTCCCCACTCTTTTTTCCTTGTAAAGTGTTGTCCCTTTTTTACCCTAGCTAGGTATACTCCTATAGGGCTATAGGAATGAAGTGTGAAAGGTAAGTTGAGCCAGCTCCTTTAAAAATCCAAGAAATTATAATAAATTGTATTTTCCTAGGTGAGTAAATATTATCAAATACAATCATATATGATCTATATTATACTTAATTATAAAATTATTATTGGTACTAGTGATAATAGTATTTGGAACAATAAAAATAGTTTACATGATTATACCTGATATTGGTACAAGTGTTGATCGACAATGTGTTGTATATTATTTTTGGATGATGAGAGAAATTTGCAGCTATAAACAATGCGTACTGGGTAAATCTCGCACATGTGTAATGTTGGAATTTTTAGCATAAAATGATATTTTAAGTGGTTATTTTGTGGTACAATTATATATATGTGGGGTTCATTTTCGATTTTGATCGAGTCAAAGTGCATTTGAGTTCTTCGAAGTGAGACGAAGAAATCAATATATTGTACACTCAAAACGGATAATGAGTGAATGAAAAATAGATTCTCAAAATGGACACATTTGAGTTGAAAAATAAATGTGGAAAGGCTTGTAAAAGCATGCACTTGTCCCACATTGGTTTGAGAAGTGGATTTGCACCACTATATATACAAGAGCTTTTTAGAAGAAAATTGAATTGTATAAGACACTACTATCCTAACTTTAACTGATTAGACCTCATATTCTCACATTAACTGTAGTTCTCATTTGAACGCAACTCTTTCTCACTACTATCATACGCTATGCAAGTATAAAGAAACACTGGCAATATTCCATCCATTACCAATTAACTCTAATTTTGCATATAAATATTTACTCAAATAGAAACATATTATATTTAACAAAAGCAACATTCTCAAAATTGAATTTTTTAAAAAGAATTTATAAATTATTAAACACCTCTTTGTATACAACATTTGCAATTGATAAGCCACATTAGTCATCTTCATTACACACAAGTACTTTAAGACCTTGTGAACTACTAACTCTAGACATTACATAAAGTTGTCAATGTACAAAAATTGAGTTCTTTAAAAGCAAACCAACATTGGAAAGAGTTTGAACATGATTCTTATTTATTATCATAGCTAGCATAAGAAAAAATCAATGGGAACTGTCTTTTTGAGAGCTTAAATAACAATCTTGGATCTGAAGATATCAATGACAATCATGTGCACTATATCTAGTTAAAATTTTAACTTCAACAACATAATCTCCTAATTTAGAAATGATCAATCACGTACCATTAAACAAACCAATCGAGTGATCTATATTTCACAAAAGCATAACGGGAGACCCAACTTTTAAATATAGTGAGTGGTTTGACACACCCAAACACGCAACCCATTCAAGAATTCTGGGGTATCAATAGTTTCTATACTGCAATAAGTCGTACAAGCAATATCACAACTAAAATATGTTCTTCCATTAGATGCATTCATACTATTCATGTAGTCATTAATTTCATCAATAACTTCAAGAGTCGGTGTCAAAATAGCGCGACTAATTAAGAAGTCACCATTAAAATTCCCAAATCGAAACATATGGAATGTACTATCAAATATGGATTGTATTGGATCACCTTTTGATTTCAAAATATTTTGGGGTGAAATTTGAATCTCTACATGACCATCATTTGCACAGTTATTTGCATGTGGTTTATAACCTTACAAAGATTCATAATTACGTATATATTCATGTTGAACATAATTTACATAATTAATTTTCTCCCATGATAAATATATCATTTAAGATATATTTTATGGAAGTTGAGTTTTTAAAACTGCAGAAACTAACATGTAACTTCTCCAACAGCCGTATTTTCATTTATAAATATTTTGGAGAAACATCTTAAACAAAAAGGCAATTGAGATATGCCAGGTATGCAAGCAATTTGCAGGACACCAAGATATTTCACAGGCTTACAATTCTGCAGGAAATTCTCAAACAAAACAACTTGAGAATTTCAGTTATCTTTTTATATCTCATAAGATTAAATCTTGAACCTTATTGTTTTTATAGAGGAAAATTTAAAGTTTATAAGAAAGTGATTACATGCCTAAAGATATCAAATGATTCAAGTTTTGTTCCCTGCTGTTTTCCTATAATTTTGTTGTATCTCACATGTATTACAGAATACTAGCACTTTTTTCAACATGTTACTATAAGTTTCTATTTTGCATGTGCGTAGATTTTGCACTGAGAGAGATAGACACGCTTAATTAATCATTTTGGGTCTATTTGACTATAAGTCTATAACATGTCTAAACCTATTAAACATGTTAATATGAATTAAGAAAAAAAAAAAACACTTTATAGAATCTAGAATTAATCCAACACAATAATAAAGATATTCATAATATTAATTTAAAATGAAAAAATAACATTTATAGGCCATAACTAATCCTAA